GTATCTGTAATATTTATATCCTTGATGACAGCTGAGACAACGTTCAAAGAACGGTTTGGAGCGAAAATGGCTATTTTGTTGCTAATTTGCAGGAAATATCTAGAAGAAAGTAGCTAAGGTCCTCAGAAATGTAGCTAGGTTTATCACTAGGCATTCGGAACAGTGACAAAGTCGCTGAGTTGGCACTACCTCACTCTCTGCTGCTAAAGCTATTGATAGCAAATGCTACGGGCAATGCCTGAGCGTGAACGCGCATGAAGCAGCCTGCTCGACCTGAGCAGCTTTCTTTTTCTGTGATTTTACAGAAAAACAGTAAATAAATGTATTATTTTGTCTGGCAACGCTCCATTGACTGCTCTCGGTTGTGGGGCGGGTTCTACCGTTTTCTTTCAAATGATCTCCGCATTCCACTGGACAATGAATGTGACATACTCTTGTTTCACTCTGTTGCATCATCCCACCCACCAGGCATATAGAGTGCCCTGATTGGCCCACAAAGTGGATAAAGCTCTGTGATTTGTTCACTAAGCAGATAGAGCACTATGATTGGCCCACCATTATGGACCAGTCACAGCTCTTTATGTGTTTGACACCCCTCTAGAGAGCTGTGATTGGCCAGCCAGAGTCCTGGTAGGAGCTGCGGAGGTTCCAATGGAGCGTGCCTAGACCAAACTTTGTAAAGCAAGAATTTGGTCTAGTTCACTAGGCTAGGCAATCACAGTAAAAATGCCAGGGCTCATTCTACAGGACCAGGGCATTGCAGGAGAATGTATGAAGAAGAAATTTATTATTTCTATACATGTTTTGGCTGTCAAACTTCCATAATGCCCCTTTAAACATAGTTCTGTGTTAAATTAGAAATGTTTCTTTTAGTTTTAATCTCCAACAAGTCACCAGCAGCCACGATGCAAGTGTTGATTTATTTATTTTTAGTTAAACATTGTCTCGGTCCTGCTTGGCTGAGTTAGCTCATATGGGTCCAGCGATCATCTCAGAATGTCACAGCGGTTGTTAGAGTTTTACTGCTGTTCTGTGAGGGAGTGGAGCCTCCAGGCCTATGTTCATGGAGAACAGTAATGGGTTATTACTTTAGTCTTTAAGATTAAAACATGTTACAGACTCCGTTTGTCAAATAGGAACACAGGATTAGCAGGAAAATGTGAAATTCCCAACTCTGGGCGTTGATGGAAAACTGCTGGAAATGGAAAAACAACAGGGTGCTCTAAGGCTGAATTATTAATTGCATATGCAATTAAACTACGATGTGACGAAAGGAGATTTTCTAATAGAAAGGCCTGCGATTTCACTGGCAGTGAGTGGTTAGCACAATTCCAATATAAATGAAAAAAAAACTCATCGGGAGGCTAATGCTAATATTTCCAATTACATTCTTACAAATTACGAATTTGAAACGTGCCAAATTATTACGTTTGGTGTCTAATAAAAAGTCAAATCTGCCATCAATCAAGTACAGACAGATATTTTAGTAAAGCTAGAAAATACAGAACTACGGAAGCTCTCCATGGACAAGACTTCAAAAACTCTAAACACAAAAGACTTAAATGAACTGGACACACTTCTTTCCTGCAAATACATTTTCACAGTTGCACACTCCCGGCTGCAAAGCATTGCACCTTCAAATACAGACTTTTGTCTTTACTTGTGAGTGTTTATGTATATGTAGACAAATGAACTTTTGGATATGACATGTAGATACACCAACTTGTTTATATGCAGTACAAGTTGCATTTACTTTTTTTGCTTCTGTTAGTTGAAAAATATGAGAAAAGCCCCTTGATAAAATAATCGTGAATTAAATCGCAGAATCGTTCAGCCCTAGTAAATAGTATAATATGTGGTGTTGGGTCAAACTGATAAATTATATATTGTTCGAATATTCACACCTTATGCCCAAATGGTAGCTTATTTGTGATTCATTGGTTAGGTAAATGGATTTTTTTTGTATAAAGAGGCATAAAGTCATGGGAAGAAAAACTCAGCTTTTTCTCCAGATTCCCATTTTTACCTCCTCTTCCCCTCTGGTGTGTTTCTGTCCTTCACAGCATCTCTTTTTTTCCTACTGCAGATTCTGTTGCTTTCTTTGCCTTTAGAATCAGAATCAGAAAGGTTTCGTTGACATATGTGCGAGAATCACAACATTAGGAAATTGCTGTGGTACTCAGTGCAAGAAAAGATCAATTATGAGCAAAAAATTTAATTAAGAAGTAAACACAGTAACATGATAATAATATAGGGAGGCAATAATTAGAGAAGCAGCTAAATCAACACTTGCATCGTGACTGCTGGTGACTTGTTGGAGATTAAAACTCAAAGAAAGCTACTATATACAAGTCAGTGTAAGTACTGGTCAGAGCACATCAGTTCAGGTGCAAACACAACACTAGGGTCATGTGACTAAACAAAGCAGCTGGAGTGGACAGGTCTACTATTAACAATCATGAGTCCGACCACAGAGGGGGAGAAACAGGTTTTGTGGCGAGAGATTCTGGTCCAAATGGATTGGAGCCTCCTGCCAGTCGAAGAGACTGTGTCCAGAGTGAGACGGGTCTGCTGTTATCTGACCTGCACGCCTCAATGTCCTGGAGGTGTACAGGTCCTGTATGGAGGGGAGTTTGCAGCCAATGACCTTCTCAGCAGAGCACACAACACTCTGCAGTCACCATCATTCTGATGTCACGCTAGGTGAAAAAACATCAGGTAGTTCAAAACTCTTCAAGGTAATCTATATTTAGAACATCAATCTGCTACATTTGGAATATTCAACATAGTCTTAAAATGTGGTTCTGGATTATCTGATTGCACTTAAATGGGTCGTGATTGGACACTATTTCGTTGCAGACTGCTCCAAGATGTTCTGTCCACGACTCAGTTGAACTCTGGGTCATTGAGTCATGTTCTGCCAGCTCTTCTAGGTTTTTGCCTTCAGTTCCTCCTCTGTGGGTGTTTTAGGTAATCCCACAAATAGCAGTTCATTGGATCACAATCTGCACTCTGTGATGCCACTCATCCTTTTTATGACAGCGGGAACTACATCCCCTGAGTGTTTTGTTCTGTAGCTTGTATGAGATGTTGCTTATCTTACTAGAATATGGCATTTTGTCATCATACAACATGTGGTAGTCAGGAAAATGAGGTTAAGGTAACATCTAAGTCAGATCAAATCTTGCCCGACTAAATCGGGAACTGCTTCTTTGAGAATCAGTCGCAGATTTGATCCCACAAAATGAAGTTATGAAACAGTGATTTTCAGAAAGTTTTTTTAAAAGGATTATGAGCCAAGAAAATAATCATAAAATAATATTAGTGTTTTTTAACCAACTGACCTTAAAGTTGTGTCCTTCTTTTGCCCTCCTGATAAATAATGTACGCAGGTTCTTTTCTTTTCCTTCTGTGAGAAGTTAAGTACAGCAGGTCCAACGGGAAAGTGTTTCAACAGGAATCAGTCTTTCCAAAAGGTTTGATCAGATTCATTAAAATATTTAAATCTAAAATGTTTTTAAACATTTCATTCCCACCAAGAGTTCTCTCTCACATCTCGGTCTCTCCTCTCAGCGCCGTCTCATTGGATGATGGTTGGAGTCACTGACACGCTGATGACAGAGGGCTACTCTGTCTTGGCTACTCATTAGCTGTATATATTATATGTGTGTGTGTGTGTGTGTGGAGGGGTGATGTGGTTTGTACATAGGCGCTTGTTTCACCAGATGTGTCGTGGCAGCGGTGGTAGTTTTACTGCCTGGGAGGAAACCAAGCAGGCTGCAGGGTTTCAGTTGTGGCCTCCAGTCCGGCTCGGACAGACGCTGCAGGATGACGGTCGGGATGCTAAATTCAGCTTGAGATTTTGTTTCTGTTTCCTAATGCAAGTAAAAAACCTTCCCTGATATTGTCTAGCTTTTCTGATACATAAAATATGTTTTAGATAATTTTTGTTAAAAACAAACTATATTTACATTTAGGCACAAGGAAGATTTTCTAATTTAAGTAGATCATTTTTGTCTACCTTCAGCAGAAAGTGTCAGTCTCTAAGGAAGCCTCGTGTGAGTCTTTGATGTTTTTGTACTGCATTGTTGAAAAATTAATTCGGTTTGACATCAGACGTTATTATTTGATGCTAACATTAGTACCCGTCCCCCTTTTTTTTTTTCAAGCAAGCTGTGTGAAGCAGCAAAATATCCTTTTGATAACTTTTGATGAGTCACATTAAAGTTGCTTCAGAGCCTCAGACTTGTTTGGATCTCCCTGCTGGGGCAAAGTTTGATTTAAAAATGAAGCCAGCAGAAGTGATATGAGCTCATTTAATTCAGTTTGGATTCTAAATACCAGACAATATTAACTTGGTTTTAGGAAGTTGAAGTTAGCAAAGGATTTTGGCTTCTTAGATGGTATGGGTTAGTTCCCCTCCAGACTAGATGGACAGCTCTGCACTGTAGTTGTAATTAAATAAAATTTGATAATGTACCAATAATCATCTGGTGATCAGAACTGGACAACCTTCAGTGTGATGAGTTAATCAGTGATCAGCTGATCTGAAATGCAAAAATTAGATTTCGATCTTTTTTTGTTGTTGCTGCAGGATGCACAGTAGCCAAGCAGCAGTAAAAAAAATATCTGACATTATTCCTGGTCAGTGAACCTACCATTGCTAGGTGCTAAATTCATGCTAGCAGCAACAGATCAACCATGTCAATGTTTTTATTTTAGGAATATTAATGTTGATAATACTTTTCAGACAAATGTACTTTGTTTAGTTTCATTGTTTGAATAATCAAATGTAGGTATCGGCGGGTCGAAGTGGTTACTGGTACTGGCCCTCAAAACCAGAATCACTGCATCTCTAGTTTCTACTGGCACTTACCCATGGATGTAAACTAAACACATTCACATACTGAACTCAGAGCAGATATGACGCCTCAGTCTGAGTTGGTTCCCATCTCTTTCCCTCCTAACTTGTTACATTTGTCTCTTGCTTTTCTCCACAGACATTGTTCACGAGAACCTGAAAATGGGATCTGATGGAGAGAGTGACCAGGCATCAGGAACGTCATCAGATGAGGTTCAGTCCCCGACCGGCGTCTGTCTGAGGAACAGAATTCACCGACGGATCTCCATGGAGGTGAGACCCAACGGCACCACCCCCCTCCTCTGCCTCAGCTGACTGGGTGTGGGTGTTTGGTTTGTTCACTAATGGCTTCTCGGGCTCTTGGTGTCATGATACTGATAGCAGCACTGCTCCCGCAGAAGCCCTGAAGAGGCCGAGGAGACGTGATGGTCCTCCTCATGTCAGCTGTCTAAGCATAAACGCACACTGGCAGCAGGTTTTCTATCCAGCAGGAGTTCATACACTCACCTGTCATCAGTCACAATCTAGATAAAAACACTGCTGAAAAAGAAACTATTTTAATGTTTCTAATGATCCTGAGCTGAAAATAGGACAGAAAGAAATTGTCGACTTGTCAAACTGGCTTGTTTTATTTTTAATCTCAACCAGAAAATATCTTAAAATCCTTGCTGATCCCAAGAAGGTGAATTAGCTTCTCTGGTCTACAGGCTGCAATTCTTTCCAGTCAGGTTTTATTTTTTTACTAGTTCATCAAAAAATAAGGTGACTGCTTGAAACGATCTTCTAATGATCCTTGGGTGGCCTTTGCTGCTTATTTTAGTGTTTCCTGTGAATTTTCCATCAACAGTGTGTTTAAGAGCATCAGTTAATTAATCTGCTTGCTCTGTTTTTGTCTACTGGTCATTATGTAAACCAGCTTAGTTGGTTAACACACGTCCTGCTAATGAAAAGATACTGGATCCAGACTGATGCTGCCTTCACATGAAGAGGTGGATGAGTGGAGGATAAGCTTCTCCAGCTGGAGGTCTTCTGCCCCCTGCTGGCAGACAAGCATAAATAAACAAGTAGCAACTTAACATGTTTTATTGATGCTACCTTCCTCGCACACGCTGTGACCTACTTCTCACTTCTTTGGAGCTCATTTGTGCACAGAGGAGCTAAAGGATGTGGTAATCATCACTTGACCTAGCACACAAAAACAAAGTACAATCAAAAGTTTAGTCATCATGGTGCTCAAAGACAAACGGCCTGTTTTCAGCTCTGTTCAGGCTCCAGAAACATTCGGAACAAAGCAGTGACTCTTTTTCTAGCTTTGTTCTAACATTATTATTAAAATCTTCTAACTCCACTTCGAATTTGGTGAAATTGCAGTTCTTTTACCTTCTTATTAGTTCATTTGACTCATGCACTAAGACTGAGGGACTCTTTTTTTTTTCGAATGTAGGTCGTGTTTATGCACAAACTCCGTTTTATTGTAGAGCATCATCGCTCTGCATGCCAATAAATCACTGTGAAATATTTAGTTGATATCCAGACGTACCAGAGTGTTGCTGGCCGTTGATGAACTAGTAAAAACCAAAAAACATCACCTAAAAAGTGAGATTTTTATCCTCATACTTCAAGTCTCTGAATAAGACTTATTCATAATCCAGTAGCAGAAAGCCTTTTTAACAGCGAGCACAGGTTTTAGCGGGTGAGGATCTTTCGTGAGCCTCACCCACATTTCCCTTATAGCTGGATCTCTGGAGAGATGATGGGTTCTCTCACTTTGTTAGTTAGTGAGTTGCTGCAAAATCCTGCTGCACAGCGATTTGATGTTATTGTTACAATGTCAACAACATAGTCCAATTTACTGGCCCAATACTGTCTTTTGGCTCTAGCGAGACAAAATAAACAACTCAGTCCACATTCTCAGCTTTTTGGAAATTTGAAAGCTTAAATTGAAAGTTTTTCAAATGTTTTTCATAGAATATTTATAGAGAAGTCAGACACTTTCAGAAAGATTGTTTTGGATTAAATTTAGAAGATGGTAAAAGAATCACTTATTTTGCCACAGAACATCAAAACTGTTAAAGAAGTGAAAATCCACAGGAACAGATTTAAATATTCCTTCTGTGTGGTTTAGCTTCCACATCAGCTCTCTCTTCACCACGACAGGCCGGTACAACGCCCACATCGCTGCAGACGCAGCACCAATCCGCCTGTTGATCTGTCGCTCCTTCTTTCCCTCACTCGTGAGGAAGCTGAAATCACCACTGAGCCCAATAAAGTCATGTTGCTAGTTTTGTCTCTAGTCTGAGCAGGGCTGTTCTAAAAAAAGAGCTTCAGTCCGGAGTTGATGGGGTTTGTGACGATCCAAACTTTAAAGCGCATCACATTGACTAAAAGATTTCAGGCCTTCTTTCTCAGTTGATTTTTCTCCACATCATCCAACATTATGTAAGTCCAAAGCTGTCAGACATGCCGTTATATACTTTGAGTCTGTTCATTAAAGGCAGTGAGGGCCTGTGTGAATGCAGACCGATGCTACGGGTTTAAGCTGTCCTGATATGATTTGTGCTCATAAAAGTTCTGCTGCTCAGCCATGGTCACGCTTTAGCAGACCGCCCTCCTATTTCTACCCGGCAGAAGATGGTGATCGACCTGATCTCTGTTTCCTCACCTCGGGAGTGGGAGGAGATGAGAACAAGTTATTTTGGATTGTGTGTGTGTGTGTGTGTGTGTGTGTGTGTGTGTGTGTGTGTGTGTGTGTGTGTGTGTGTGTGTGTGTGTGTGTGTGTGTGTGTGTTGTCTCCTGCTGCCTCCTGCTTAAACATGAGTGGGAGAATTTTCTCTCAACCTGCTGTGATGGGATCTGATTGCAGAGCAGCACCAGTGGCTCTCCGCCACGAGCTCATGTTGTTAACTAACACTTTATATCAAGGTTCAATCTTCATTTTGAGTGAATTAAAACACTATAATTATGATGTCTTTTTTGTTATGCGCTGAAATATGAAAATCCTCAAGTTTTTTAGTAGGATTTGTGAACCCAGATCTAAAGTTTTAAATGCGTTTCTGTTTCAGGACCTCAACAAGCGCCTGTCTTTGCCTGCTGACATCCGTATTCCCGACGGCTACCTGGAGAAGCTGCAGCTCAGCAGCCCGCCCTTTGACCAGCCGCTCAGCCGACGCTCCCGCCGAGCCTCGCTGGTCAGTCCGTGTGTCAGTTTGTGACTGTGTGTGTGTTTGTGCTCATTTATTGCTTTGCGGCACTCCTATTACCAAGACTCCTTATGTGCTGGTTTCCATGGCAACTGGTCCAGTGAGAGCCGAGGATGGATTAATCTGGAGCCACCTCCCACTTTATGCCCATCAGATTAGATCATAAAACTCTGCTTTGGTGAGATTATTCAGCTTTGTTGCAGACACACTCTGAGGAGAAGATTTATGGGAAATGGAAACTTTCCAGCTGTGATACCCCTAACTGAGAACTGTTCATGGTTTTTCATAATAACATTTCATATGGACACACATCATTTTCTGAACCTCTGATTCCTCTGCTGGGAGCTGGTGCCTGTCCCCAGCTGTCATTGGGCCCAGGACGGGGTCTGCTCAGAGCTTCAGTCCATCACAGGAACCCACAGAAACTGACACTCACACAGTCTCCAATCAGCCTAGCCTGCATGTTTCTGGTCTGTGGGAGGAAACCAGAGTACCTGGAAAACAACATGCATGCACCTGCAACCTTCTGCTGCAAGCTAGCAGGGCTGCCAGCTGCATCATCATACAGTCCACAATGGAACGTTCTTAGATTAAAACTTTGGTTGCTTGTCCAGAAGTACTCATCTGAGATCCTTTCTGATGTAAACACAGGTGGATTATTCCTGTTCTTCATCTGAATCTGGTGTCTTTTTTCCTTCTCCCCAGCATTTGCCTGCTTTCTCTTTTCACCCAATAGTGTCAATATATTGACCAGAATGCAACAAAAATCTTTAATTCCTCTGTTTGTGGATGGATTTTTAACCCTGTACTTTCCCAAAACAATCAAATCAATCAAATCAAAGATATGTTATTAATCCCAGAGGGAAATTAGAGGGAAATAACAGATTTAAGTTTATTTTTGTACAACAGAAGTCGAGAAACAGCTGATCCTTACGCTTGGCTTGTTTTTGTCTCCTCAGTCTGAGATCGGTTTTGGGAAGTTGGAGACGTACATTAAACTGGACAAGCTGGGAGAGGTGAGGAATCCAGTCCTTTATTAAATAATTGCCTCGTATTTCAGTTTCATCTCACTCAAGTGAAAACTGTTGCATTTAGGGAACCTACGCCACAGTGTTTAAGGGACGCAGTAAGCTGACTGACAACCTGGTGGCACTGAAGGAGATCCGTCTGGAGCACGAGGAAGGAGCTCCGTGCACGGCCATCAGAGAAGGTGATCACTTCGTCATTTTGCATTTTAGTCACATGAACACAGCAGTTTGAAGTCAAGTGTTACAAAAATACTTTATTATAAAAATTAGCGAATGTTTTGTTTATCTGATGAATGATTTTCTGTTTTTTCCTGCTGTAGTGTCACTACTGAAGGACTTGAAACACGCCAACATTGTGACGTTACATGACATTGTCCACACTGACAAGAGCCTCACACTGGTCTTTGAGTACCTGGTAAACATGTTACTCTACATGTAACTACTAAAACAAGCCCTAAAAACCTAATTCCCGTTTGTTTAGTTTACAAAGTCTTTCCACAGGTCAGTGTGTTTATATTTCTAACTCTCCTACAGTTTCTATTGTTTTGCTAACCTGTTGCATCGGTTCAGGCTGGCTTTTGTGTGACCTTCTTTTCATCCTCTTCTTCACTGGCTTCTTTTCTTGCTGCAGCTTCGACCAGTTCTGTTTTGTTTTTTGTTTTTTTGGGGGTTTTTTTTTGGTTTTTTCAGGATCCTGTGGTTACCTTTATCTTTTGCTTATTTTTTCTTCACATTTTTAATTAGGATATTTCCTTTTTTTCCATACTTTATTATATTTCTTAATCATTTTTCATTTTGTTTTTGTGAAGCGCCTCATGATTTTTATCTGAGAGGCGCTACGTAAAAGAGGGTTTCTTCTGTTAGGACCTAGTCTTTTATATTATCGCGAGGCCTGTGCTCGTAACTTGGTTCAGAAATTGCATCTGCACTGACTGAATGACAATAATCTGATTAAACATTAACAGATTATTTGTGCATAAGCAAATCACTCAACAAATCTATTTAGCATTCAACATGATGAAAAGTTCCAATGTTTTCTTTTGTGATAAGTTGTGCGTTTATCCATTACCTGCTGGGTCATGGAGGCCATGGATCCATGTGATCTGTCTCCCTAGCAATGCACTACATCTCCTCCTTGGAGACCCCAAGGCGTTATCAAACCAGGGAGGATATCTAACCCCTCTGGTGTGTTCTGGCTCTGGCCTGTTGTCTCCCTTCAGTTCCCAGTGAACCTCCAGAGGAACGCTACCAGGAACAATGGAACAACTCTTTATTTTTTTTATTTATCACAATTCGTTTAGTCAGAGCTTTGCCTTTCAGCTCAGCTCTTTCTTTATCATTACTGAAGCAGAGGAACATCCTCTTAACTGAGGTCTGACCTGTGAGTCCATCTCTCCTCTATCCCACCATTACGTGTGAACTTAACACCACGATTCTTCTCCACTTGAGACAAAACCTCGCTCTTAATCTAGAGAGAGTGTTTTCTCACATTTAAAGAGTCTCTTAAAATTAAACGTTGTGTAATGAAAGTTCAGATTTTGATATCCAGCCCTGTCCTGTCACCTCTTTATTCTGCTACTGTACATTTTCCTGAGTGTCTTATTGACATTCAATTCTGGGTCTGTTTATTTTTAAAAGGTTTCTTATGAATTCTTTGAAAGTGTTAATTTTGTAAAAACAAAAGGAGAAAAGTTGGAGAAAAAATACCAGTGACATTAAAGGGATACTAGGTAGTTTTGGTTTGCTTTTAGCACCCCTAATGTCCCGTTAGTAAAACCAAAAGTGAAACGTATCTCCTTGCTGTGCGTTCGCATTTTTAACACCTTAATCTAACAGCTTAAATGTCTCCCCAGCCTTCATTAGTTTCTACAGAAGTGGTTCATTATGAAATCAAACAAATCAGCTGTGTTTACAATCAAAAACATGCAGAAAACATGTTGGAGGCAGACTGTGGCGCCACATATGTCAGCTCCACTTGACTGAGTCCAACTGGGACGGCAAGTCTGAAGTTGCAAGTGCGAGATTCTGGCCACAGAGGGCGTTGGGAATCTGAGTGACATGTACTTTGTAAAGGGTCATTTTAGCACATACTGGGTGAAGAAAGTGATTTAAAAATCTTAAAAACTTGCATAGTATGCCTTTAAAATAGAGCTCCTCATTTGTTTTGCTGTAGCTGGTTCACAGAGAGGTGAAAAAAAGACCGATGTTTAATGTTTTTATTTAAACGCTGTAAGATCCTGTCTGATTTCATCTGTTGTTGCAGGATAAAGATCTGAAGCAGTACATGGATGACTGTGGAAACATCATGAGCATGCACAATGTGAAGGTGAGGATTAAATAAACAGTGTTTATTCAGCGTTCTGCCTCTTGGATATTATATTTACTCTGAACACAGTCGAGCTGAGGCAACAAATTCAGTTAGGATCACATTTTAATGTAAAATTTCTTATTGACATTTTTATTTTAGTACATTTTAGCTAATTTCTTAGATCGTCTCCATCAGAATCCTGACTATTATATATGCTGGGTATATAGTGTCTCTTTTATGCATGTGGCGTGTTGTAGAATATGTGTCATTTAAATGTGTTTCCAGATCTTCCTGTTCCAGATTTTGCGAGGGCTGTCATATTGTCACAAAAGGAAAGTTCTTCACAGAGACCTGAAGCCACAGAATCTTCTCATCAATGAGCGAGGAGAGCTCAAACTAGCTGATTTTGGTGAGAGAAGCCAAAGAAGTCCACAGCTGTAGCCACAAGTTCAGAGAAGGACACAAAGAGTGACTGTCTCTGAGTTTGCTGCTGCAGGTTTTATGATGGAAGGTTGTAGGAACTCTAGAATGTTATCATGATGAGATGAATTATAGTTAAATATAAAGTCACTATTTGACATGACATGTAATCTTAAAACACCAAATTGTTTTACGTTTGTGCAGAAGACTTGAGGGCACATAAAAGTGTCCAGCTCCATCAGGACCATCTCCTAACATTTATACAGCTCAGGGGCAGCCTATATTTATGTTTATGTTTATTCATTTAGCAGACGCTTTTATCCAAGGCGACTTACAATTTATAACCTATAGGGCATGTTGTGATCTGTGGGGGAAACCGGAGTACCCGGAGGAAACCCACGCATGCATGGGGAGAACACGCAACTCCACGCAGAAAGGCCACAGCCGAGTTTCGAACCTGCAGCCTTCGTGCTGCGAGGCAACAGTGCTAACCACTGTGCCACCATGCAGCCCATTTAATGTCTCTTTAAGAAAATATCAGGATCCTTCTGATGGATCTCCTTTCTGATTGGAAGATCTGAAAATAGGAAGAGCTGGTGAAGAAAAGCTGAGTGCTTGCATCAGTCCTGTGTCCTGCTAACTGTAACATATCCTGAGACCACTCGTGTGTGTAGCTGCTTTAGCCTCAGATCATCCATGAATACGATGCAGAAGGGTACAGGAAACTCCCCAGACGTTAATTAAGAACTTATCCTCAAGAAGCAGGTGGTGAAACAAAAATCCACAAAGTCTGGCAAATGCCAAGCATCCATGATGCTATCAGTTAGGATGTGGACAGTGTGTGAGGGTGAACTAGATTTAGAAAACTAAGGATCAACAATACAAAAATAGATCTGTAAGATTCTACTTCAGTAACCATAGAAACATGGGGTATAAAGATCTAAAAGAACTGAAGCAAGAAACCTTGTGAGAACCAGCACTTTCTCCACAGCTGGACATTAGTTCTGATCCTGTTTTTCTCTTTGTTGTGGGTTTGCAGGCCTAGCGAGGGCCAAGTCTGTCCCAACTAAAACCTATTCCAATGAGGTGGTGACTCTCTGGTACCGGCCTCCTGATGTTCTGCTGGGATCGTCGGAGTACTCGACACAGATCGACATGTGGTACGAAATCAGAGCCGCTGCTGCTTCTATTTATTTTATTGACAACAAATCAACTGAGTTATTCATGAGGCGTCAGGTGATGTTTGTGTTTGCAAACCCACAGATAAAGATGTTAGCTTACGCGTGTGTGTGTGTGTGTGTGTGCGTGTGTGTGTGTGTGTGTGTGTGTGTGTGTGTGCGTGTGTGTGTGTGTGTGTGTGTGTGTGTGTGTGTGTGTGTGTGTGTGCGTGCGTGCGTGCGTGCGTGCGTGCGTGTGTGTGTGTGTGTAGGGGTGTGGGCTGTATATTCTATGAGATGGCTGCAGGTCGGCCTTTGTTCCCAGGCTCCACTGTGGAGGATGAGCTCCACCTCATTTTCAGACTACTGGGTGAGTGTTTCTTGAACGAAGCAGATCGACTTCCAACTCTCCGATGTCTGCCTGAGTGTGGCGACTCACTCGGCAGGGAATGTGTGATTTCAGGCACGCCCGCGGAGGAGAACTGGCCGGGAATCTCCTCCATTGAAGAGTTTAAATCATACAACTTCCCCAAATACAAGCCACAGCCCCTGATCAACCACGCCCCAAGGTACACAGCTGTGTGTCACATTCTCACATCTTTTTATGCTTGTTTGTTTCACATCATTTACCTGTTGTTATTTTTTTCCCTCCTGCATCTTTTCAGAGTAATGCTGTGCACTTTTGACTGTTTGTGTGCTGTAGGCAGGAAATCCTGCAGAACATTACAGACTGCTGTCCACTTCCTTCCTCCCATGAGCCTCCCACCCTCCTCCTCTCACCTCACGCTGCTAGACGATAATCTGTTGCTCCTTGTCTTCTTCAGGTTGGACGGTGAAGGCATCGAGCTGCTCCTGGCTTTCCTCAAAGTAAGCATCAGCTTGTGAAGCCATAGCCAAAATACGCTAAAGGGAATAATCTGGATCATTATCTCAATTTTTGTGTTCTGTGAGGAGGTTTTTAGGATGGAGTTGTCTCTTCCATGGGATCACAGATTTCTTGTTTTTGTTTTTCAGTCACTGAAACGTTCCAGCTGCCTTTCCTTAAAGAAATTAAGCGTCTTCGTCTTCGTCTTCCTCCGCTTATCCGGGTCCGGGTCGCGGGGGCAGCATCCCAATTAGGGAGCTCCAGGCCGTCCTCTCCCCGGCCTTGTCCACCAGCTCCTCCGGCAGGACCCCAAGGCGTTCCCGGACCAGATTGGAGATGTAACCTCTCCAACGTGTCCTGGGTCGACCCGGGGGCCTTCTGCCAGCAGGACATGCCCGAAACACCTCCCCAGGGAGGCGTCCAGGAGGCATCCTGACCAGATGCCCAAACCACCTCAACTGGCTCCTTTCGATCCGGAAGAGCAGCGGTTCTACTCCGAGTCCCTCCCGAATGTCCGAGCTCCTCACCCTATCTCTAAGGCTGAGCCCGGCCACCCTACGGAGGAAACTCATTTCGGCCGCTTGTATCCGCGATCTCGTTCTTTCGGTCATTACCCAAAGCTCATGACCATAGGTGAGGATTGGGACGTAGATCGACCGGTAAATCGAGAGCCTGGCTTTCTGGCTCAGCTCCCTCTTCCCCACGACAGATTGGCTCAGCGTCCGCATCACTGCAGACGCCGAACCAATCCGCCTGTCGATCTCCCGATCCCTCCTACCCTCACTCGTGGACAAGACCCCGAGATACTTAAACTCCTCCACTTGAGGTAGGACCTCTCCCCCGACCCGGAGGTGGCAAGCCACCCTTTTCCGGTCGAGAACCATGGTCTCAGATTTGGAGGTGCTGATCCTCATCCCAGCCGCTTCACACTCGGTCGCGATACTACCCAGCAAGAGCTGAAGGTCAGAGCTGGATGAAGCTAGGAGGACCACATCATCCGCAAAAAGCAGAGACGAGATTCTCCTGCCACCAAACTCGACACACTCCACACCACGGCTGCGTCTAGAAATTCTGTCCATAAAAGTGATGAACAGAACCGGTGACAAAGGGCAGCCCTGGCGGAGTCCAACCCTCACTGGGAACAGGTCCGACTTACTACCGGCTATGCGGACCAAACTCACGCTCCTCTGGTAAAGGGACTGAATGGCCCTTAACAGAAAGCCACCCACCCCATACTCCTGGAGCGTCCCCCACAGGGTTCCCCTGGGGACACGGTCATAAGCCTTCTCCAAATCCACAAAACACATGTGGATTGGTTGGGCAAACTCCCATGCCCCCTCCATCACCCTTGCAAGGGTATACAGGTGCTGGCCAGTAAATTAGAATATCATCAAAAGGTTGAAAATATTTCAGTAATTCCATTCAAAACGTGAAACTTGTACATTATATTCATGCAATGCACACAGACCAATGTATTTCCGATGTTTATTACGTTTAATTTTGATATTTATAGGTGACAACCAATGAAAACATCAAATCTGGTATCTCAGAAAATTAGAATATTCTAAAGGCCAATGAAAAAATGTTTGTTTCTCTAATGTTGGCCAACTGAAAAGAATGAACATGAAAAGAATGTGCATGTATAGCACTCAATACTTAGTCGGGGCTCCTTTTGCCTCAATAACTGCAGTAATGCGGCGTGGCATGGACTCGATCAGTCTGTGGCACTGCTCAGGTGTTATGAGAGCCCAGGTTGCTCTGATAGTCATCTTCAGCTCCTCTGCATTGTTGGGTCTAGCGTATTGCATCCTCCGCTTCACAATACCCCATAGATTTTCTATGGGGTTAAGGTCAGGCGAGTTTGCTGGCCAATCAAGGACAGGGATACCATGGTCCTTGAACCAGGTGCTGGTGGTTTTGGCACTGTGTGCAGGTGCCAAGTCCTGTTGAAAGGTGAAGTCTGCATCCCCATAAAGTTGGTCAGCAGCAGGAAGCATGAAGTGCTCTAAAACTTCCTGGTAGACGGCTGCATTGACCCTGGACCTCAGGAAACAGAGTGGGCCAACACCGGCAGATGACATGGCACCCCACACCATCACTGACGGTGGAAACTTTACACTGGACCTCATGCAACGTGGATTCTGTGCTTCTCCGCTCTTCCTCCAGACTCTGGGTCCTTGATTTCCAAAGGAAATGCAGAACTTGCTTTCATCAGAAAACATAACTTTGGACCACTCAGCATCAGTCCAGTCCTTTTTGTCCTTGGCCCAGGTGAGACGCTTCTTGCGCTGTTTCATGTTCAAGAGTGGCTTGACACACGGAATGCGACACCTGAATCCCATGTCTTTCATGAGTCTCCTCGTGGTGGTTCTTGAAGCGCTGACTCCAGCTGCAGTCCACTCTTTGTGGATCTCCCCCACATTTTTGAATGGGTTTGTCGTCACAATTCTCTGCAGGGTGCGGTTATCCCTAGAGCTTGTACACTTTTTTCTACCACATTTTTTCCGTCCCTTCGCCTGTCTGTTAATGTGCTTGGACACAGAGCTCTGCGAACAGCCAGCTTCTTTAGCAATCACCTTTTGTGTCTTGCCCTCCTTGTGCAAGGTGTCAATGATTGTCTTTTGGACAGCTGTTAAGTCAGAAGTCTTCCCCATGATTGTGGTGCCTTCAAAACAAGACTGAGGGACCTTTTAAAGGCCTTTGCAGGTGTTTTGAGTAAATCAGCTGATTAGAGTGGCAGCAGGTGTCTTCTATATTCAGCCTTTTCAGAATATTCTAATTTTTTGAGATACCAAATTTGGAGTTTTCATTAGTTGTCACTTATGAATATCAAATTTAAATGTAATGAACATTGGAAATACATTGGTCTGTGTGCATTGCATGAATATAATGTACAAGTTTCACGTTTTGAATGGAATTACTGAAATATTTTCAACCTTTTGATGATATTCTAATTTACTGGCCAGCACCTGTAGAGCTGGTCCACAGTTCCACGGCCAGGACGAAAACCACATTGCTCCTCCTCAATCTGAGATTCAACCATCAATTGGACCCTCCTCTCCAGTACCTTGGCGTAGACCTTTCCAGGGAGGCTGAGGAGTGTGATCCCCCTATAGTTGGAACACACCCTCAGGTCACCCTTCTTAAAGATGGGGACCACCACCCCGGTCTGCCACTCCCTAGGAACTGCCCCCGATGACCACGCAATGTTGTAGAAACGTGTCAACCATGACAGCCCTACAACATCCATAGCCTTGAGATACCCAGGACGAACCTCATCTGCCCCCGGGGCTCCGCCGCTGTGTAGTTGTTTGACTACCTCAGCAACTTCTGCCCCCGAGATCGGAGAAATTAAGCGATCGTTTCAAAACATCATTTTTTAAATTGCTTGAATATCTTTCATATTGAAATTTTTTTACTGCCCAAAAATGTTTTTGTGACATAAAATAAATTGAAAAAAGATACTGTGAGCAGGAAAATGCTGTATTACAGCACTGTAGTCCATGAAAATATCCAAATGTAAAAGAAATGCAAATTACAACATGTATGTGAACTTATTTTGGTAATATGGAATTTTTTATTATATAATGGAATTAAAACCAAATAAAATCACCTAAATAACATCAGATTAAGCAGCAGCTAGATAAGTTATTTGAGTATTTATAAACATCCACTTGCTTCATGTCTAATACGTGTCACAATTGTATCTGAGGTAAATCTGGTTGCTACTGTATGACATCAGCGCGCTTGATATTTCCTGTTTTTGCTTCTGCAGTATCAGTCTAAAGCGAGAGTTTCAGCTGATGAAGCGATGAAACATTCCTACTTCAGGCAGCTTGGGATGAGAGTCCACACACTGCCTGAGAGTAAGTACACACATACACACACGCACACACACACACACTCACGTACATTAATGAAGGCAACTGTTTAGATCACATTTTATTTCTGTTTTCTGTTGTAATCGGGCATTTTGTCTCTTGCGTCTCAGGCATATCGATATTTACGTTAAAAGAAGTGCAGCTGCAGAGAGACCCTGGTTACAGGAACTCCTCGTACCCAGAGTCAGGTAGGTAAACACAACCAGATATCTCAGCTTCTCACCAACTTAAACAACAATTAGTTACTTAGATAAAATAACTGAGGCTGATGTTGGCAATAAGCTTCTCAGTGTCGTGTTTTCTCGTTGCAGTTAAACAGACGTCTGGAAGGGTTTTATTCACAGCAGAGTTGAGCTAATTATCTAATTGTGTCTTTTTATTTGAAACTCATTTCAAGCAGGAAATCATAGGAACCCCACACTTTACAGGTCCCATCGCATCACTTCTGCTTCTTTTACCATCCACACAACTAGGGATGTCCCGATCCGATTACTTTTCTGTAACGACGGGTAATTTTAAGAGGAAACTGATGCATCATGGGTATTCTGCTGTGCTCCTCTAGGTAACAGCAGCATCAACAGAAGGCAAAGCATGCTCTTCTAGTGTTTTCTGGAGAGGACGGTCAGGTGACCAGCTTCAACTTCACCTCCAAGCAGCATCTCGCATGAGCCCACCTTCCCTTGGAGTGTCACACACACGCACACACACACGCACGCACGCACGCACGCACACACACATACATACACACACACACACGTTTGAAGACTGTTTATTTATTGGGGGTGAGGTTGGATTACTTTGCTGCTAAAATACTACTGTTTTTATGTGACACACCGTGTGTGTGTGTGTGTCTGTGTGTTTTAGTGTACATGATATGAACTCAAGACGCCATGCACAGTTGTTACTGTTCTGTTTTTGACTTTAATTATTCGGCTTCTTTTGAGTCCAACTGACGTTGACGCTGTGATGAAGATGTTCTCGTAGTTCTGCTCTGAGACAAAAGTTTAAAATCCTTCAGTCTTTTTAAAAAGTGTATATATCTATACAGTGATATATATATATTTGTAGATATATAAATATATTTGAAGATGTTTTTTTCTTCAAGCTTCCGTGACTGAACTTCACAACATTTCCACATTTAAAGAACTACAACACTAGACCACGTTGGGTCTGTGACACTGATGGATCAAATATTTCAGATGGACTTTTGTTTTTGTACGACGACCTGCTGCCGTTGAGGTTTACACTGAAAGTCCGACATTGTTGGCTGAGAGCTAAACGAAGCAAACAGCCCCATTAACGTCAGAATGTCAAACTTATGTTTTTTAAATTCAGGCTGGCTCATCATTGGGACCAAAAACAAGGGGTGTGTGTGTGGGAGGAGTAACTGTTGGGAAAACTACTGGAGAGCTGGAAGGAAAGCTCAATAGGAAGTTATGTGACGTCCCACAGGAAGCCAGCTAACCCTCCTAAAGCCTCTCCGAACTGCCAGGACTAATCGTTGCTTTTCTTGCTCTGTGTGCCGTCAGAAGCCTCCCCACAGGAACTCCTCATCTCCAACTTGCTCTCCAGCATGTTCCTTTCATTTTTGTTCTTCTTATTTTGAATCAGGGTCTCGGGCCTAAACATGGCCAAGTTCAACCAACAGTATTAAAGTGTGGGCTCTGTCTGACCTTTGACCCCTCCTTGTGAAACAAAAGTGGCATGTTTTTTTTTCCTGAGTCAGGGAAGGGGTGAGCACTGCTCTCCAGGAAATTCACAGGTTTTAGATTGAACTGCCAGCTATGTTGTTTGAACCAGGAAAAGATGTTGCATATTTTAAATCTGCAGCGATAAGAAAACCTCCTTGAATCTATACTATAAGAATCTGTTGGTGTGTTTTGCATTCGTGGCATTATTTAGTGAAGTCTTTTCCTGCAGTTTTGTGAATTCTAAAAATATTTTGTTTTATTTGGAACATCTGAATATTTTTAGAATTTTGACGCCGTTCTCAAATCTAAACATGAAGCCACATGGATTTATTGCGAGTTTTACAACAACTAATATTTTATGTATTTGCTCTAATTTGTATTTCGTCATTGCTCATTTTTTGTTCTAAATGCAACTAATTTAGTCTCACATCAGCATGACTTAGCACAACAGCTATAATTTAACTTTAAATCTAGCAAACACAAATCCACCATTAAAGAAGCAAAGTGAGAATCTGTGTAAATGTGAGCTCTAAAAGGATTTCAGGGAGGTTTTCTTGCTGCGGTAGCTCTTTTCTGGCTCAGCATCAGAATGAAAATAGTTTTGTCTGCTGCTGAAAGGTTTGTCTGAGCAGCACTAGTGTTCTCTGTTACAACAGCTCATGCTAGAAAAGGTGCTTCAAGCACCGGTGAGGCTCGATTAACTTAAGTATTCATGTAATAATAGTAATATTAACATTAAACACAGTTTGCAGCTTATGGTGGAAAAATCCAGATTTTTTTTCTGCACATTTTTCTCAATCTGAATGATTTGACATTGACCCGATATGATACTGGATCAGGCTAACGCGGGTTATGAAAATAATGCTTAGATATGATATAAACAGGAAAAGTCATTATATTAATGGTAGATGTCCTGTATTGTGTGTATGTGTGTTTACCTGCTTTGGTAAAAATAAGTTATTGTACATTTAATCCGGTCAAAGGAACGTTTGACTCTAATCTGCAAACCGTGTTTCTGCTAATAGAAGTTTGTACATGAACAACATGCACGAAAGATTTTTAAACAAAAAAGCTCAATATTTATCATCGTAAAACTTTACATTCTCAGATGTATGAATGACTTAATTTTATATAATTACGTCTGAGCGAGGGTGCGTGTGTGCCTGATGCATGGAAGGCCTGCTGTGTTGTGAACTCGACCTCTGAAACACTGAGCTGCCAGTGACCTGTCAATGTGTGACTCTTTTTACTGAACTATTTATTTCCCATAACCATCGAAAGTAAATTTGAACTGTTTCATAACCTGCTGCCTGTGTTGTTTGTGTTGGTAAAGTCAAATCTACAGAGATACATATGATACAAAAACAAGCATGTATTTATTTTTAAAAAATCACAACAAAGAAAAAAAATCACAAAATGCTGTTTTTTCTAGAAAAATAACCAGGAGCAATTTTATAAAACAAACAAAATTGTGCATTTTTGAACTGGAATGTATATTAAAGATCTGAACAAATTTACAAAAATCTTACATGAAAGAATTGATAAATGGCTTATAAGTACAGTGCGTTATAATGTACATGGAATTACACGCTGACTAGCAGATGCTGCTAGGAGTCTGCTTTGGCCCGTCTCAAAAATGGGAACACCATGGAAGAACGAATCAAGTCCTGAGACCCAAATCATTTATTGACAATCGAGCTGAATGAAGGAGAAGGAAAATAAACCCGTCAGAAGTTACAGAAAAACCTGGAATTGCTTTCTTGGTTTCAGCACTGGACCATCAACACTCAGGACAACATAGCTGTCCAATCAGGTGTCAGTGATGTCATATCCATGATTTCAGGATAAGAGTGGAAATGGTTACATCACATCACACCTTTGAATGTAAAGTTAGCACCACAGACTTCAAGCAAGAACACCCTTTTTTCCTTCTACAGTATATATATATATATATATATATATATATATATATATATATATATGTCCTTACTGTAAATTTCCAATTAAACATGCACATTTGGTTTGCATTTAGGTGTTGTACATGAATTGCATTATGGGTTCACCTTGAGTATTTTCTAAACACGTGATAACTGATCCTTTAGATTACTTACACAAAAGGTTTAGTTAACAAAATAATTATAAAATAATAGTTTAAATACATTTATAATTAACAGAAAAAAATTACATTTATTAAAGAAATCAAAAGGTTTGTGCTTTTTTCGTCACTGACAACGAGTGAAGAGGTACATGTATAAAACAACCTTTTGCTACAAACCAGGAAATGTGTTTTGTCCTCATGGGTTCCCGTAGAAGAAAACATTGAGTTTAATATGGCGTCGCCCAGAGACTTTGACTGCTACCATGTATTTTAGACCCAATTTTTATGGTTATATGTAAAGAACCCACCAACATTTTTCAACAACTGGGAATCAGATTATTTATTATCAAAAACACTTTTTGATGGATATTCCCAGATTAACGGTAAAAACTACACATTATCCCTTTAATGTTATGTGTCCTAAACACTTGATCTCTCTCACTCACTCACACACACACACACACACACACAGAGCTGCATTTATAGTCATTCAGCTGTGCGTCCTAAGGGCCCACAGGAAGTTGAATTATGAACAGCATCAAAGGGAGTGTTTTAATGACTTGTCTTTTTGAGTCATGTGTTCAACCTGCACCAGACCAGAGATGATGCAGATGTCTACTTTTCATTAATGCTGATTTCATTAGATATCTGGTGATGTGCCAATGTGGTAACAACAGAGTGAATGCGAACGGCCTTTCCTTCACTTCTGCTGTAGTTGTGGATATGTGACATCACTGTGTTGATTCTGGTGGTCCCAGAACAAACCAATATAGCAGTTTAAAAATGCTTTCCATAATGTCTAGTGATCCAGTTATGGTCCATTAATGAAGAAATTAGGTGCTTTCTTTTAAAAAAGTTGAAATTTCAGCTTAAACAAACAAACAAACAAACAAAAATAAACACGTTTGTGCATTAGATAAGGACATCCATGTATCTAACTGTAGCTTTAGGACCTGGAGAGTCAACATCTATGCACCTCCAGCAACCTTTTGCTAAATAATCTTATTTACAGTGAAAACTTTGCAAACATTTATTTTTGTGCCACAATAAAAACTTCCAACATAACACAACAAATATGTGGTGCTAATCTAACGAGAGAGCCCAATAAAAGCAAACTCACATTGTGTCTGCTTCAAAGAGGAGGTTTCTGGCTCAGTGAGGTCTGTTGAGGATTTCCTCAGATCTTCGTCTTGAGTCCTAGATGTTGATGCTGGGATTAGTTGGAGAAATGATGAGAGCTAGAAGCAATCCTTTGTGACGAAGCAAAACACCAGCTGTACTGAGATGATTTAGCAAAGACATGGTGAGGTTTGGTTTTTGGTCTACTTTTTAATTAAAGATTTTCTGAGACCCTGAAATAAACATAAACACAACAAGCCCAGCTAAACGTCTTCTGAAAGCCAAGCTTCAGAGGGAAGCTCCTGTTTCTTCTGGGATGAAGTTCGGAGCCAGTTTGACTCATTGGTCTGTGTTGATGCGACTCTCCTTGACAAATTATCAATCCAGTCTGCTGAGAGGAGTTCAGGCTGGTATCAGGACTTATGGGAGATGGTGGAGAGTGCCAGAGGAGATGGGGCATCCATGCTGGGTGTAGGTACTGGGATGGGTCCATTCAGGAGAGAGGGAAACTGGAGCAGCACAGAACAAAGTACATCAATATGCAAATCAGAATGAACATTATTGTCATTTCCTCAGCGTCCTGGAGCATAGAAATGTGTCTCTGTAGAACAGCCTGACCAAGACACACAGACAAAAAAACTGATACAGGCAGGCCACAAGAGCAGCTGTACAAAGTGCTCATATCAAAGCTCGCTGTCTTTGATCCAGCACAGTGGCGTCTAATCCCGGTCCTCAAAGGCCCTAATCCAACACATTTTAGAGGTTTCTTTTTATGAAACTTGTTTAATTTTAATTAGTGGGTGATCAACAGGCTTCTGCAGACCTGATGAACAGCTGATTCGATCACTGAACCAGGGGTGTTGGAGAAGAAGAGAGCTAAAACCCTCTGGATACGGACTCATTAGGACCAGGGGTTTAGTGGAGCTTGGACTCAAAGGTTCAGGGTTTTCTGAGTAAGCAGATCCACAAAAAGGATAAGGAAAACCTCACAGCCATCGAAGGATTACACTTTTATGGTAACGCTAATCTGTGACCATTACCTGGAAAAGCTGAGAATGGTTTTGCAGTTGGATGGGGCTCAGAGGTCCCACTGGACTCAGGTTGGACCAGAAGTGGATGTTAGACAGCAGAGGGCTGGGGGTGACCAACAGACCAGAAGGAGTCTAGAGATGAAAAATACTGATGAAATGTCAGAAGATACACACACCAATAAGAAAGTGACTGTTTCTCTGGTGGTTTGTCCAGAAAGCACTGCATGTTCATGGAGTCTGTCTCACAAAAACTCAGCCAAATCTGTGAAGGTTGGGAAGCTTCACTCACATAAAAACCAAGGCGTCTCGCATCAGACCAGCTTTTCCTAAGTCCGTTTTAAATCCTGAACTAAAGATCAGTTTCTGTGATCCCAGTTTAGCCAAGCTAGACCACGAAGAGTCAAGTCCCACACCCTACCTCATTAGACACAGTCTTAGGATGCTTACAGGTAGTGGGGCCTCCAAATGGGGTTGGGTTGGCACCAAAACCAAAGGATGTAACAACAATTTAGGAGTTCTATTGTGCTGGTGTCAAAGACTATTAGGAAAAGTGTATATGTGTGTGTATTTACACACACACACACACACACACACACACACACACACACACACACACACACACACACACACACACACATAAGTGAAGGAATCATGTTCTTTTCCAGCCAGGATCCCAATATCATAAGTTTTCCAAATGTCATGAAACATTTGGAAACTCTTGCTTTTATGTTGCATAAAGAAGACATATTATGACATTTTTCTTCAGTTATGATAGCACTATCGCCGATAAATATTTATTCATTCTTTGCACTAAATCCCTCTCACATAAAGCAATTTCAGCAGACTTATTCTTGACAGTTTCAGAACCTTCCAGAATGAGCCGCTTCAGGTCTCTGTCACTTTAAGAACAAAGGCTGGGGTTTGGCTTGGAGTAGAGGCAATGCTCCTTAAGCCCGCTGCACACGAGAGCAATCTGTTGAGCAAACGGCCTCGAATGACCATTCAGAGTTTTCTGCCTCACTAGATGTTGAGGTGAATATCTGACCTGTTTGATGTTTTCCACCTCACGGGGTGTAAAAAGTCGCCGTGTGCCCACTACGTGAGCTGCTGGCAGAACTGTAATATTCTAGTGGCCAATCAAAGCGTGTTCTCTGCTCACGTGACCCCAAGATGGCAGCCTCCTGTCTGCATGTCAGAAAATAAACAAAACTGAGACAGAGCTGGAAACGGAGGAAATGTCTCTTATTTGTTGACGAAGCGTCACCGCCTCCATCATTTCAAGGTTAGGAGAGTATGTGTACGGTGGCTGCAAGGAAGGGTCAGGCAAGGAGTTTATGCCAATCTACTCCAAGAGATGCGCCTTGAAATCCCAGAATCCTTCCGACATTACCACCGCCCGGTTCCTTCGAGAGGATAGTGGAAACAGTGGGCCCATCAATCAACAAGGTACCGTTTTGTTTATTTTTCTGACATGCAGACAGGGCTGGGGGCTACATCTGAATACATATTGGAATCATGTGAGTGGAGAATGTGCTTTAATTAGACACTCAAATATTTCAGCTCAGCCAGCAGCTCACAGAGTGTGCACACGGCAAGTTTTTACCCCCGTAAGGTGGAAAATATTAAGGGTCAGATATTCACCTCAGCGTCTCGTGAGGCAGAAAACTCAGTGAAAATCAGGCGCACACAGCGAAGTATCTGCTGAGCAAACGGCTATTCGAGGACGTTTGCTCTCGGCAGGCTTAAGGCAGCAGCTTCCTCTTGCTTGTGAGGGGTAGTTCTATTCTGCTGTTCTAATTTATGATGTCACAAATGGGGACTTTTTGAAACAGATGGTTTTAGGCCCATAATTCCTGAAACCAAACACTGACAGAAAGTGGATGGACAGTTGTTTTCACATATGGTGTTTATAGAGGAAGTAGATATCCACATGGCAACACAAAAGGATGCAAAAGGGGAGTTTTGCATAATACGTCTCCTTTAAATTTTGTACAACAAATAAATTTGCAAGACAGGATCAATAGGTCACGCTGTTGTTGCAGACCTTTGTCTGTGTTATTTGATGTACAAAATTTAAAGGAGACATATTATACAAAACTCCCCTTTTGCATATTTCCTGACCCTTCTCTATTGTTGGGAGTCAAAACTAAATATTGATGGGACGGCCATCTACGAGCTTTGTTGACTGATTAAAAAAAAGTAAATCAAAGAAGTTCTTAGATAAGCAAAAGCATCATAAATACCCATTCAGCTGGATTATAACTGAAAAACAACAGAATTTCTTGCAATCCAGTATGACCAGCCCCCTGAGACAAAATAAACACAAATGACATAAATAAATGTTGCAATTCTTTTTTTATATTCATGTAAATTTTTAAAACTACTACACTTGTAAGAATGACTGTCTATGAGGGACTTTGGAGGAATGTTTATATCAGATAATTGCCTGCCCTCTTCCATAGTGGGACCATTGCTTACGAGGTAAAAATAACATATTTTTTTGTCAGACAATGGCTTCTAGAAACTCAGACATGATCAGGTGAGTGTGTGGAGTAAAGACTTCTATATCCTGTCAGTGATCTACACAGCAGTGTGTGATTACAGAACACCAGCCGAAGGCCTGAATGGAGTCCTGTTTTGGTCTTGCTGCCAGTGACTCGGGAGCATCAGAAACATATGGGTCCACTTAGAGAACTCCTCCCTTCCTCCCTTTTTTTTCCCTCTCTCCTTGTCCTTTTCAACTGACTTTGCGCGTCCCAAATGCATGCCCCCCCCCCCCCCCCCCCCCTTGTCTACCTGCCCTGCAGGAGGGACTGACAGAGGTTTGATGGTGTTTAGTGTAATGTGTCACCTGTGCAGTAAAAAAGGAGGGAGTGAGAGACCCAGAAGGGAGTGCTGGACTGTTGAGTGCAATCGAGACGAGGTCACTTCCTGTCAGGAGGAGCGAGGAGGCAGAGATCTCGAGGCCTTTGGGTTTTCTGCCTTCCAGTGGTGTGCTGTTGGGCAGCCCCCTCCTCTCTGAAGTCGCTGTGCTCCATAACTTCTCTCTCTCCCGCTGCCCAGACGACAAATTTAAAGGCTCAAAGTCATCAGTATCTGAACTCTGGCCACGCCCCCTCACCCTTCTGGGGGCGGGGCTCTGTCTCAGCCGAGGAGACCCTGGAGGCGGAGTGGAAGGAAGGGAGGTGCATTCGCCATTGGTTACGAATCGGATGACGGAGCTGTCGTCATGGCGTTTGGTTCTGGGTTCTGATTTTATTGGTCGGTGCAGCAAGTTGATGTTGAAGGAGGAGTGTGAGCTGGAGTGAAGGTCTTCTTCAGCTTCAGGTTCTGATGCTGCCCCCACGGTTTCCTCACTGCTCCTACCCGACTCCACCGCCGCCGGCTCCATCTTCAGGATGTCAGGGAACGACACAAACTTGTAGACAAACTTTTGGCCGATCACCTTCCTAATGATGTTCTGCAGAGGAAACAAAGAGTCAGTCGTCACCTGCAAGGCCGCTGAAAGCCGCTGTGGTGCACTTCACACACCTTGTCGTAGTAGTAGCGCAGTGCTCTGCTCAGCTTGTCGTAGTTCATGTTGGTCTTGTTCTTGCGGAGCCCCCACAGCTTGGCCACCTCCTCTGACTTGAGCAGCTTGAACTCTCCGTCGTTCGACGTCCAGCAGATGAGGTGCTTGTGGCTTTGGTCGATCAGGAGCTGCAGCAGGAACTGCCAGAGTGTGATGGAGCTCTCCATGATGGCTCAAACACGGGCAATCTACGGGAAAGGACCAGGAAAAATAACTGCAAATATCTTACTGAACTGTGCACGGCTGCAGTTGGCATGCCCAAACATAGATCTGCCTGTGGTGGCGTGTGGGTTTTGTTACTTCCTGTGAACAGATCACTTCCTAAAGCAGAACTTCAGCTTGACCTGTGTTCTTTCTGTTAAGATGAAACATAAATAAAAAAAAGTTTGCTCTGTGTTTGATGTTATTTTGATGGTAAAATGATAATTTTACCATTTATTTTGATGTTCAATGCTGTGAAAAGGGTTGTAGGCCCCTTACAGATTTCCTGGTTTTGCTTTTTTCTCTTAAACTTTTCAGATCAGCAAAAACAAATTTCATACAAAGAAACCCAAATAAATGATCATTTGTGATGGGAACAGATTTTCAAACTAACCTTGCTCTATATACAAAGTTACTGCCCCCTTGTTAAATGATTAATTATTTTTGTTGACAAGATTACTAGTTACCAGTCACAGCCAGGTGTGATTACTGTGAGACCTGCAGGATAAAAGTTACTTTAATGGAACCTGTCTGATAATATGATGTAGGCTAAAGGATCTCAAAAAGCAAACCACCATGCCCTGTTCTACGGAAGAATTAAAACCAAAACAAAGCCCTGCACATCTTACTTGCTTAAGGTTAAGGTCAGAGGTCCTTTTTAAAGAATATGAAAGAGACAGAGGAGCAAACTCTGATTTTTGGGTGTGTTCCAGGACCAAAACTTCTGATCAATAACACAAAGTCTCATCGCACATTTAGCAAAATCATGTGATCACCAAGACTTTTGTAAAAAAAAAAAAACAACAAAAAAAAAAACGATAAGACTAAAAAGAAAAAAGTGGAATTTTGGAAGGTGTGCATCTCGCTCCATCTGGAATAAAACTGACACTGACGTCATAGCAACGGTCAGACATGGTGGTGGGAGTCATCTGGGGATACTTCAGGCAGTTGTAACAAATGGAACCGGTATTTCTGCTCTCTAGCAACACGCCCTGAAGGAAAATGTCTGACCTTTGACCTTAAGCAGATTGCTCATGCTGGAAAATCTCTCCAATGTAGCTGATTTCAAATAATTCTTTACAGAAAAGTAGTGAAGTGAGAGACTCATCACCAGTTTTCCCAAATGCTGGATTCAATTGTTGCCCCTGAGGGAGTTATAACCATTACCAGTTAGCGCTCATACTTTTTACACACAGGGCCAGGGTGGTTCTGATAAATTATCAGGATGTTTTCTTAATAAACTAAATCATCTTTTGAAAATAATAATAATAATAATTATTATAATAATGCATTGAACTTATATAGCACTTTTCTAGACCCCCAAAGACGCTTTCACACACTCACATTCACACACTGCTAGTGATGGTAAGCTACTTGTAGCCACAGCCGCCCTGGGGAGGTCTGACAGAGGCGAGGCTGCCATTTGGCGCCGTCGGCCCCTCTGACCACCACTAACACAGGCAAGTTGGGTGAAGTGTCTTGCCCAAGGACACAACAGCAGGATACCCCTGGCGGGAGCTGGAATCAAACCCATGACCCTCCGATCATGAGGCAACTCGCTCTACCACCTGAGCTACTGCTGCCCCAAAAAAATTGAATTATGTGTATTTTTAGGTTGCGTTTGGTCGAAATCGAAATAGTTTTGCTTTTTGAAAACATTTAGGTGACAAAAACAGATTAAATTTGTGAGAGGGTGAAGCTCCTTTCAGAGCTCTCTGTGCATGTAACAAAGGACGGGTTTTCAGACGTTTCCATGGTAATAGAGCAGGATGTGGTTAGTGACCCTTCTGCCAAGACAAGCACGACCCTAACCGACATGTTTACCTGGAAACTGTGGCAACCTGTCAGTTCCTGTTACACTGTCTCCGCTCACAACATTCAGACCAGAAACAGTAGAAACGTTGAGCATTACTGAATTACTGAAAGAAAATCGGCTTCCTGTGGAAATGGAGACCAAAAACAGGGACGATGCAAAATGACCCACAGATGCATAGCTAACTGTGCTTCCTACTTCCTGCTTAAGTGTGTGTGTGTGGATGGGGGGGTGGGGGTGGGGGGGGGGGGGGGGTACAGGAACTGTAGTGATGTCTGTCTGTCTAAAGGAGGACTTCCTGTCATTCAGCTTCAGGGGCGTCATTCCCGGTAAGAGACTGTCCAGGACTTCCTGTCAGTGGGAACCGGGAACACACTCTGTCTGCATTTTTATTTGGATTAAGATCTGCCCATTAACACCCAACAGATGTAGAATTCAAAGACTCACCCGCACATGTCTGAATCATATTGCCAGACTATTTATTAGCTATTCTTATCCAGAGAAAAAAAACTGAAAGAAAATATGTCTCTTTCCATTCCGGCATGTTTACTTTCTGATGATCAACACAAAAATATCAACAAATGTTCTGACTTGAATCCAGCAGACACCAAAGTCAGACAGAAGTCTCCAAAGATGCTTGTGTGCTTGTGTGTGTGTGTGTAGGGGCGGTGGGGGCTCTGCTGGAACTCAAATGTTTCTTTGTTTTCCACCAGTCAGTGACTCATTTTCAAGATGTTGTCTGCTGCCAGCTTCAATCCGGAAGCGCATGGCAATTAGTCTGCGGGGTCCAGACAAACCAGAAAGTCTACCACAGGGTTTTAAAGGAGCCGCGGCTTATTTCTATCTGCCTCTTTTGATCAGTTTATCTCCCCCTTTTGGAATAAATAAAATAAAAAAAATTTAATAATTTTTGTTTCAGTGCTCTTTTGAAAGCGAGTGTGCTCTTGCGCAACACTTTACTCATTTTAGGCGCAGGTTAAACCGTTTACGCACAACTTTAATGCAGTTTTCAAGTTGTCATCTTATTCAGTAGTTTTATTTTATTCACTCAATATTATTAGTTGATTATAAAAAGTTCGTAATCACGCGGTTTAAGTTAGATATAGAAGGAAACAAGGCACTTACCCTGCTGTGGACGGCCGCTGCGCCTCTGTCCGCGCGTGCTGTGGGAGTTTGTTGCTTAAATCGGTGTGTGTGTGCCGCGTCGGGGCTCCATGCTGCTGCTGCCCCGCTGTCTGAAAGCGGATCCGCAGCTTTTCTCTCCTACCTCAGAGCAGGAAGTCGGGACGCGCAGACGGAGAACGGGCGCACTTCCTCTGGAGCAGTATTCCAGTCTGCTTGCACGCGCGCGCGCGCACACACACACACACACACACACCTCTAATTCCCATGAACACACCCCTTTACCATGCATTCTCTTTCACACACGCACGCAAACCGCAGACGCACAAACGCACACTGAACTGACCTAAATAACTCACAACTATATATTGCACCCCCTTTCTTTCTTTCTCTCTCTCTCTCTCTCTCTCTCTCTCTCTCTCTCTCTCTCTCTCTCTCTCTCTCTCTCTCTCTCTCTCTCTCACACACACACACACACACACACACACACACACACACACACACACACACACACACACACACACACACACACACAGAGAAAACTCAGACCCAACCTGGACCCAACTGACAACTGACGTCATCCTCTTCCTGCTCACCTGGAGGGGTTCCTGTTTCCACACACGAGCGCACGCACGCGCGCGCGCACACACACACGCACAGGTCAGTCTTCCAGTAACTCAAAAACTTTCCAAATCTTTAATTTTAGATCAAATGTTTTTTTTTCATGTCAACTTTATTTAACTTCTGAACTCGTTTAATTACACTGTTGAAAACCTGGATTAGGTGACTTGTAGCTCATTGGTATTATTTAAGGTGTTTTTTTTATCCTTTTTTATTACTACACTTTCAGACATCTGATGAGTTGCTTTTTAAAAATAATGTTTTTAAAAATGGGGCTCAGAAGCAAAAGAAATTGTGTTTAGCAAGTAACATTGACATATAAAAATATGCTTGAAATACATTTTTTTTAATTTCACATGAGAACGTTGAGATTTCTAATAATTTTCTATCGCTGATGCTATTCATTTGTTGGCACTGAGCAAACTTTAAAGATGAATGAACTTGAACTTTACCTGCACTTGCGTGATCTCTGATCACGCGCATGTGTGCGTGTGTGTGTAAAAATGTTTATTGAGAAATGCAACATCCGCTAGCCTTTGCTATTTGTTTAGTTAAATCTACAGTGTAAAAAGCATCCATAATTTATGGAAATTGTTTATTCATTTGAATACAAATTTACTCACGTGATTAGTTTATGACTTGTAATTCAAAGTGAAGTACTTTGACTTGACTTGAGACACGCGCATGTCTTTGGACCTTACTTGATTTGGGAATTTCACATTATGGGACTTGACTCAAGCATTCATTAATGTTATTTTGCACTCATATACTGAAACTGTATTGCTCTTGGCTTCAAGGGCTTTTAATAACCCAGGACTTACATATTTTGAGAATGGCATGTCTTGAGACTTGATTTGACATAAACTTTAACAGATTTAAGGCTTGAACTGAATTCAGAACGCTAAACCTGACCCAGAACTTGGAAGTCTTTGGACTCGACTTGAGTCAGAATTAGCATATTTTTTAACTTGACTTGACAAAGGATGCGTTCCACTTTCTTTTACCTACAGTCAAATTTGAATGAAAAAAGCTTAAATAATTTTACAATTAATTTTAATGAAAAGAAAGTCACAAAGTGAGACATCTTAGTTTTTTTTTTTACTCTCTGCTCCTCAGGCCCCGCCCACTGTGCGCGGACAGCGCCAAACTTCATGCTTCTTCAGTAAAATGAGCGACAGTCCCGAGGAGCCGCAATGGAGAAAAGTGCATTCCGTTACAGGAGTGATTCCACGCTCCAGACACGGACACCGAGCTGCAGCAATCCGTGAACTTATTGTTGTTTTTGGAGGTGGAAACGAAGGGATTGCGGAGGACCTTCATGTTTACAACACGGGTGAGCTAACGTTAGCTGGGCGCTAGCCAGCCGCGGCTAATGTTTTTAGCATCTTTCACAAGGAAGTTACCAAGGCAGTTCATTCAAGTTTGCCTGCTTATTCGGAAAATGACAAAATTACATGAATATTTACCAACATTATGCTTTTGTTAATAGCTTATTGATAAATGAAGGATGCTCTCAATTCAACTATGTGTAAAATACGAATATGAGTCAGCAGAATTTTTCAATAAATTGCACCGTTAGCTGTTGTGCTAGATGCTGAAAAGCAAGATTCGGGCAGTCATTAAAATATGTTATCAAAAAAGAAAGCATGGGGTGTATATTAATTAAAACATGCTTTAATGGTGGCAATTGTAGAGGTTTGGCTAAAGAAGTAAAAGTTTCAAAGTATTTGCTGTTGGAGATCTCGCGAGAAAAATCCTTTACTAATGTTATTTCAGCTGCAGATGTTTATTTTTCTGATTCTAGATTGCTCTCTTACTGATTTATTCTCGATAATGGTATAATATTGAATTTGACCAATTCATTTTATTCACTGAAATTTGATGAGCAATACTTAGCAGTAAATCCGCCTCATAAGTGTTTTTCTATCAAATACACGTTAGCTGTTGCCTCTTTAGCATTAACAGTCATGAAAAGGGTTTAATTGCTGGACTCCTGCATTAGGTTTCTTATAGACTGCACAATTTAATTGGTTATAATTATGT